CCCGGTAGGGAGGCGCTGCTGCTGGTGGGAGGGTTGCTCGACGGAGGGATCCTGTACGGGCGGCGGGGCGGCGGAGGCTTCGGCCGGCTGGTCGCGCCGCGGCGGAGGGCCGGCCAGGAACCCTAGCTGTCGCGCTCGGTGAGGACTCTGGTGGTTCGCTCGGGAGGGAGGCTCGGTCGAGGGAATAGGGCTGCAAAAAAAAAAGGTTGGAAATAGGCTGCAATTTAGGAAACGGAAACGGGCACCACGGGCGTGCGACGTTCTCTTTTCCTTTTTTATACGCCGTATATACGTGGCGGTGTCAAGGTTTACACGTATCCGTTCTTGTATTTGATTCACTATATTATCCCTAATTTTCTCCCCAACGCACTTGGCACCGATTTTCTAAGAAAGCAGCAGCATGAGGTCCGTACCTCCCGCGCAGAGGAGAATGTCGGTGGCTTCATAAAAGGTGGTGTTGAAATGCCACGGGAGGGCCGGTGTTGTGTGCTTTAGGACGGGGATCGACCATAGCGCGTGTTTTTGGTCAACGGTAAAGCGATGTCAGAGGTGGTGTTGAGCAAGGAGTACGGTGACTCACGGTCGTGTCGGCAAATGGGGAGCAGAGGTGAAGCACAGCGACGAAAGCAGTTGTCCCCTTACGCCCTACTTGCAGGGCAGCAATTGTCGTCCCCTTCACCACAGCAGCGAGAGGCCCTGATATTGGAGGACGGATGGATCTATCTGAAGGCGATCACACTTGCCTGACGTGGGCGGGCTGATAGCGATCTTGGCTACCAGAAATTGGAAGCAAATCCGCGCCAATTTGGAGGGATTGAGAGATAGGTGGAGAAGAAATCAAGGAGTGATAAGAATGCAACAACTAACCCTAGAATGGAGCCAACACACTTAGGGGTGGGGAGAGTTAGACCAAACGGTGCCATAAAACAATAAATGGGTAAAAGGTATTTTTTAATGGTGAAATATTCTGGAAAGATATAATATAAACATAAATGCTCGTCTCTTTTATTGCTTGTATGTATATTTTCATAAAAGTAATGTGCTGAGGATAAATCAAATTCTTTTGGTGATAAAAGCAAACTCTAGCGCTCTATACAAGTTGTAAAACACAATAATATTTTTCTGGGCACGGTAAATTAAAGAAAAGGAAAACGAGTCGATGACCAAATGAATGAAAGAAAAAATATATTATAGGTAAAATAAGAAAGGAAAATGATTAAGTACAAATAATAAAAATGCGAGGGGTGAAAAGAAAATAAAGAAGCAAAACAAAGAAAAATTCAAAATCAATCGATGTTCCATTCAAAAACAAGGAAGATAACTCAATGGGATCAGCTTCTATCTAGCACACCCCCTTTCCTCCACATAGAAAAATACTGAGTTTGTCCTTCTTTTCTATTCATGTTTATTGTTTAACTTAATACTATAATTACGATCTAAAAATGTCATTGGACACATCCTATTAAAGACGTTACACCCAACATGTATCCGTCGGTTCCCTCTATCTCGCTCACATCGCTTGTCTCCTCTTGCCCACTCATCTAACTTCTTTGCTAGAGTCCTAGATGTCACTGCTCTTGTCGTCACATGTCGCCTCCTCTTGTCTCCTCCCTCGACGACCTCCTTGTCCAGTCGGTCCTCTATTTGTTCTCTCTCTCTCTCATGCTACGGTTGCTGATGTCACCTAGGTCGATGTCGCCCGCCCGCCCGCCTCCACTTTGCCGCCCTCCTCCTTCCATGGCCTCTTGAGCATGGCAGCTTGTACTTCTAGGCTAGCCTCAGTCTGCAAATGCATAGCTAACAACAGTCATGCTTAGGGTTGAGCTAGCTTGAGTGATATACTCTATTGGTTTTATGTACTTTGTAAAGAAGGAACCACGAGGCATGTTGTTACTAGGTCCAGTGATATAGTCATGGCTTCCCAGGCATGTCTTCGCCCTTGCCCGTCTTATCTCCTCCACCCCATCGTCCATCATGGTATCTTCCACGCCAATGTGTGATCATCGTCCTTCCAAGCTCCTCCAACTCGAGCACCATCCGGGTCCAAACATTCCGTCCATTGGGAGCTCCGCTATCCTCGACCTTCTGCGGTCGCCCAAGGCTCACATGATTTTTTTTAATTCTCTATTGATCCAACTCTCTATTGATCATAATGATGCAAAATTGTTGAATTTGCATCCAGTTATTGCAGCATGGCAAAATGTTGATTTGGGGCATCCATGTTTTGTGTCAAAGCTTGCTTGTTAACAACACTTCCATAAAATTGTTCAAAGTATGTATGCCACATGAAAATAACAAAAAGTTTCACATGCAAATGGAGGAGTTTTAGTCATTGTAATGTGCCAGATTATGCTACAGATGGAAATGGATGTTACATAGATGTATGACAATATGATGTATAGGAAGTGAAGTGAGAAATCATTTGTACACGTTGTGGATAAGCATTCAGTATTGATGACGTTCTTATCACATATAACAACATAAAATCCGACAAACCAACTTTATTGTAACTACTTTTGTTGGAAAGAAAAGGGCCTTCCTTTTCTATGGCATGTTGTCAATTGACACAACCTACTTTATTGTAATATTTGAAAATAGTTTTTCTACTCGTATGCCCTTCAAACACGCTATGAAATAACATGATTTTATATGAATAAATAAGCAACTCCCAGTAACCTAGTTCTCTTAACGTGCAAACATGGCATATCAACATACAACTATGTATGGGGGGGATTTGGCAGTACATGTACATTTTCTCGACGCCTTTATGTGCCCTAACAAAATCTTGGTAACCTATAATATTTTGGCCCTCATTTGGTCCTTTGCCTATGAAAAGTAGCCCACTCACCTCGCATGCCTTTTACAAACTTGCCAAAAAATTCCCCAACAAAGGGCCAAGAATCTCTAGCCGATTTCCTGGCTACTTAATGGTTGGCAAGAAATGGTAAGGTGTGATACGACACAAACCAA